CTTAGCCCTCTCACTCTATGGGAAAATGATTAGCCAGAGGGAACACCCATGTGTCCCCATGAGGGAAAACATGCGTTTCTCCCTGGCTGTTCCGAGTGTCGAGCGGTGATGATGTGTCTGTAGTTTTCAATCTGAGCAGAGCTTTAGTTTTAGTCCTATATCGCACGTGATGAAAGAAGGCGAATGGGAAGTGGTTTGATAGGAGATGTCGGGCACCACCTGGGTTCGAGTCAGTGTTTCATTGTCTCTAGAGCGCTGTGGTCTCTGGCTCTCTGGTCACCCTAATGTCCGACAGGAACGGATATCTGATGCGATGTTTGGTCTTGTGTCTTGATTCTTGAAAAATGGTTTTGTTGTTTGGTGGGTAATATACTTCAGATCATATAAAATATTTGGGAAAAGTGAGTATAAAGATCTTTTGAGTGAGTGTCTTTTGTTGCTGGATTGTTAAATGTGATTCTGTCAAAACCCACTATTTTCGTTGTACATATTATATTTTAAAATTGTTTTCTGCGTTATGTTTTGAAAGAATCATATATTTCTGTATTTTTTAACGTAAGGGCACTTATCTTAGAGCAGCAAGAAATTGTCGCTATTTTGTGAATTGCATTTTGTTAGCATGGGACCTTTAAATCAGGTTAGCCCTTTCATTTCAGTGAAGTTACAGTGCATCACTTTGTAATATTTTGTGGCAGCAATATTCTCTGACATTTGCTTGTGGTACATTAAAATGCTCAAAGGCTTTGCATGTCGTGTTTGTCATAGGTTTTTACTGGAATTTTACAGGAGAGGAAGATGACAGCTTTTTGTGAGGTGTTATGGATAAAGTTGTTTTGAGCAAATTATTCTGTCTTTGTTGGTCTGCAATGATGAAGAAATTGTGGTCCTTAGCCCTCTCACTCAATGGGAAAATGAGCAGCCAGAGGGAACACCCATGTGTCCCCATGAGGGAAAACATGCGTTTCTCCCTGGCTGTTCCGAGTGTTGAGCGGTGATGATGTGTCTGTAGTTTTCAATCTGAGCAGAGCTTTAGTTTTAGTCCTATATCGCACGTGATGAAAGAAGGCGAATGGGAAGTGGTTAGATAGATGTCGGGCATCACCTGGGTTCGAGTCAGTGTTTCATTGTCCCTGGAGCACTGTGGTCTCTGGCTCTCTGGTCACCCTAATGTCCGACAGGAACGGATATCTGATGCGTTGTTTGGTCTTTTTATGTCTTGAATTGTGATTAAATGGTTTTGTTGTTTAGGGGTTATAGAATATATACCTCAGATCATATAAAATATTTGGGGAAAATGAGTTGTAAAGATCCTTTTGAGTGTCCTTTGTTGCTGGATTGTAAATGTGATTGGGTCAAAAGCCACTACTTTCGTTTTATATTAGTGGATTTTTCAGTTGTTTTCTGCTTTATGTTCTGTAAGAATCAATATATTTCTGTATTTTTTAACGTAAGGGCACTTATCTTAGAACGGCAATAAATTGTCGCTATTTGTGAATTGCATTTTGTTTACATGGGACTTAAATCAGGCTAGCCCTTTCTTTTCAGTGAAGTTACAGTGCAGCACTTTGTAATATTTTTTGGCAGCTACATTCTCTGACATTTGCTTGTGGTACGTTAAAATGCTCAAAAGCTTTGCATGTCGTGTTTGTCATAGGTTTTTACTGGAATTTTACAGGAGAGGAAGATGACAGCTTTTTGTGAGGTGTTATGGATAAAGTTGTTTTGAGCAAATTATTCTGTCTTTGTTGGTCTGCAGTGATGAAGAAATTGTGGTCCTTAGCCCTCTTACTCAATGGGAAAATGAGCAGCCAGAGGGAACACCCATGTGTCCCCATGAGGGAAAACATGCGTTTCTCCCTGGCTGTTCCGAGTGTTGAGCGGTGATGATGTGTCTGTAGTTTTCAATCTGAGCAGAGCTTTAGTTTTAGTTATATATCGCACGTGATGAAAGAAGGCGAATGGGAAGTGGTTAGATAGGAGATGTCGGGCACCGCCTGGGTTCGAGTCAGTGTTTCATTGTCTCTGGAGCGCTGTGGTCTCTGGCTCTCTGGTCACCCTAATGTCCGACAGGAACGGATATCTGATGCGATGTTTGGTTTTTAAAAGTCTTGAATCTTGAAAATGTGGTTTTATGGTGGTGGAGAGGGGGGGGGGGGGATGTTGTGGATTTCTTTAAATCATTTGGACTATTTGGGGAAAATTTTTGTCCCTGTGAGTATGTAAAGATCTTTTCAAGTGTTTTTGTTTCTGGATTGTTAAATGTGATCGGGTCAAAAGCCTCTACTTTTGTTGCATATTGTTAGTTTTCTTAATTGTTTTCCACCTATGTTTTTTAAGAATCAATATGATTCCGTCTGAGCGTAAGGGTACTTGTCTTGCCGTTTCATTTCAGTGAAGTTATAGTGCAGCACTTTGTTATATTTTATGGCAGCAGCATTCTCTGACATTTTCTTGTGGTACATTAAAATGCTCAACGGTTCTGTCGTCATGTGTCAGAACTAAGTTGCACTCGATCTACTATTGTCTGTATTACATATTGTTCTGTAGACTTTGTCAAGGACAGAAATTGTTTCAATTTTTTTGTGTTATGGGTTTTTACTGGAATTTTATAGAGGAAGATGACAGCCTTTTGTGGGGTGTTTTGGATGAAGTTGTTTTGAGCACATTATTCTGTCTTTGTTGGTCTGCAGTGATGAAGAAATTGTGGTCCTTAGCCCTCTCACTCAATGGGAAAATGAGAAGCCAGAGGGAACACCCATGTGTCCCCATGAGGGAAAACATGCGTTTCTCCCTGGCTGCTCCGAGTGTTGAGCGGTGATGATGTGTCTGTAGTTTTCAATCTGAGCAGAGCTTTAGTTTTAGTTTAGTTATGTTTCGCACGTGATGAAAGAAGGCGAATGGGAAGTGGTTTGATAGGAGATGTCGGGCACCGCCTGGGTTCGAGTCAGTGTTTCATTGTCTCTGGAGCGCTGTGGTCTCTGGCTCTCTGGTCACCCTAATGTCCGACAGGAACGGATATCTGATGCGATGTTTGGTCTTTTTGTGTCTTGAATCTTGAAAAATGGTTTTGTGGTGGTGGGGGAGGGGGGGGGGGATGTTGAGGATTACTTTAAATCGTTTGGACTATTTGGGGAAAATTTTTGTTCCTGTGAGTATGTAAAGATCTTTTCGAGTGTTTTTGTTTCTGGATTGTTAAATGTGATCGGGTCAAAAGCCACTACTTTTGTTGCATATTGTTAGTTTTCTTAATTGTTTTCCACTTATGTTTTTTAAGAATCAATATGATTCTGTGTTAGCGTAAGGGTACTTGTCTTGCCGTTTCATTTCAGTGAAGTTATAGTGCAGCACTTTGTTATATTTTATGGCAGCAGCCTTCTCTGACATTTGCTTGTGGTACGTTTAAATGCTCAAAGGTTCTGTCGTCATGTGTCAGAACTAAGTTGCACTCGATCTACTATTGTCTGCATTACATATTGTTCTGTAGACTTTGTCAAAAAAGAAATTATTCCAATTAATGCGTGTGTTGAATCTTGAAAAATGGTTTTGTGGTTGTGATGGTGGGGAGAGGGGTGGTGTTGTGTTAAAACCATTTAAAATATTTGGGGAAAATTTTTGTCACTTCTAGATGCAAACTTGTTAGTATGTGAAGGTCTTTTTGAGTGTTTTGATGCGATATCGGGTCTTTTTTATGTCTTGAATCTTGGAAAATGATTTTGTGCTGTGTGTGTGTGATGTCCACAATTTTATCATGGATAATTCTCTATTTCATGTCAAGTTCAATATTTGGGGTAAATTTTTGTCCTTTCTGATGCAAACTTGTCAAGAGTATAACATGATGTGTGGAGTCTTTTTTGAGAGTTTTTAATTCTTTGGTGACCTTTATTAATTTTTTTCACAGGCAGACTTCAGCTTCAGGTTTTACGGTCATAACACGATGCACGGATTTGCTACTTGGTTCACTGTGGCTTTCCCAGGCTCAGTGTGCATTGATACCTCCCCCTTTGCACTGTGAGCATAATAGTCGTTAGTCTTTACTTACTTGGCCTTTACTTGTCTCAACAAACTGAAGAATATATTGATGAATACAATTATAGGTGCTTATAGTTTCGTGGTCCTCTAGACTGATGCCTTTCTTTTGGACTCTTAAAGCTTTACTTAAAGAACTATGTCTTTATATACTTATGGTTTAGAAATTACCACAGCTTTGCACTTGGCCATCAAATTGTACAGTGGTATAGATTGGTTTTAAATTTTAAAAACTCTACAGTATGCCGAAATATTCATAATGATGGATGTTTCTTTGGTTACCATAGAAACTGATGATTGAACTTGTAAGAATTTTACCTGAATCTTGTCCTAGCAATGATACCAACTTCACTTGGTAATTGAAGTTGGGGGTGGGTGGGTTCACCCAGGATTTGTTAGGGGATATGATTACCCATGATAATGCCTAATGAAATTATGGAGTATTATTTAACAATGTCATGAGCTATGTTGATGGGAAATTGATTTAATAGAAAAATGCTTTAAATTTGTGTAGATGTGATTATCATTGTTTTGTTTACAAACTTGAGTTTCTTGAAGATTTAGCATCTTTCAAACCGCAAGCAATGGAAAGGATTAATCTTCTGTACTTGGAAGATGTTGATATGAATGTCATCTGTCCTGTTTCTTTCCAGGCATTCTTTGTTCTCTTCTTTTTTGTTACCCATCAAGAATCTATCCTATTTGAAAGAAGAATCTTCCTATGTCAGATTCATTAGTATAGTTATCCTTATTATGACTTCAGTGCGGGTTGTTTTTTTTTTCCCAGAAAAACTCACTGGGGTCAAACTGTGATGTACTTGAAGTCGTCCATAGCTGTGAAGCAAGACATGGAAATATCTGGCTCTTTCAGCATGCAACCGTCAGCAGAGAATCATCGGTGAGTCACAAGATGACCGTACGGCACACACTGAAAGTTGATCAGTTGTTTTGGGTTTGACGGTTATGCTTTATCTTGGTGGGTTTAGAATGAATGATGTTCACAATGGCACATTTGATGGATAAGTTACCATTGAGGCATCGTTTTGTTGATAGCTTTCTGTTATGTTCTTTAAAGGTTTTTAACCCTCGTAGCACACCAGGTGACAAAAATCGTCTCTCTCTCTCTAACTCTGCTGAGTGCGCGAGGCGACTAAAATCGCCAACGGGCAGGCCAGCTCGGGAGCGCGCGAGGTGACTATTGTCAATTTGGAGGAACACCTCATTTTTAAAGCAAATAGCGTCGCCTGTAGTTGCCATCATTGGTTCTGTAATGGAAAGTGTTACTCCTGAATGGTTTGACCAATCAAAATCTCGGAAAAAATAATCCAAGGGTCAAGGCACTGCGTGCCTTCTTGGGCTCTGTTAAGGATATGGTGTTTATTGAGGTCAATTACCCTACAGCGCTCAACAGTGAATGAAAGATTGGTATCCTTTGTTTAGCATCAATCTCTGCCCCTAATTAGACCCAAACTATTAGCTAACTGACCTAATGAGATAAACTGAGGCTTTACTGCTGCTATCTTTTCTGGAACTCGGGCTATCTCTGGCACTTTCTGTGCATTCTGTGAGCGAGAAACATCGAAATCTTCAGATCGTTCTGCTAGTTCTATTGCTCTGTTTGTACACTGCGTAGAAATGAAATTATTTTCTTGTAATGACGGTGTTCCAGTTCTTGACCTCGCGAGAAGGGACGTTTTGTGTCAGCTGGTTGGCAGCGCGAGCGACTTTGTTGAAGACTTTGACGCTCTTTAAGTGTTGAGAGTCATTGGTCCACCGGAGAAGTTTATTTTGCTGGCAGCGATGATGAGGGTGCAAAGGATCTCGGCACTCAGCTAACTGGCAGAGGTGACAAAGAGGAGGACTTGATGACTGCTGCACCTGACAACCAGGTCGTGACCCTGACTGCGGTGACCGACTACACCTGGACCTGGAGTGAGAACACTTCCCCACCTTCCCCAATGACACCCGCTTTTTTCCCCGACCACACCCCCTTTCTTCCCCGACCACACCCCCTTTCTTCCCCGACCACACCCCCTTTCTTCCCTGACGGCGTCCCTTTCCTCCCTGACCACACCCCCTTTCTTCCCCTACCACACCCCCTTTCTTCCCCGACCACACCCCTTTCTTCCCCGACCACACCCCTTTCTTCCCTGACAGCGCCCCTTTCTTCCCCGAACACATCCCCTTTCTTCCCTGACGGCGCCCCTTTCTTCCCCGACCACATCCCCTTTCACTGGCAAGCCTGGGATGCAGAAAAGGGTTGAGGCTGATGCCTCCCCATTCACATTCATGAAGCTACTGATTGATGACATCTTTGGGAGAATAAAAGAGGAAACACAGGTAAATATACCCCAATGGAAGGAACATACTTGATCTGAAAGAAATGAACTTGTACAAACATATTGGGGGGGGCTTGTAAAGCTAATAAGCAATAGGTACAGTAACGGTAAAGGTCAATTAAAAGATGAGAAAGAAAACGGAAAACAAGGAAGAAAAAGATCAGTTTTGTTTGTTTAAATTAGATACATATTTTTTTTAATGCATGTGTAGCATTCAATTTGTTGAGGAGTCTGTGGTTTGTGGTGAGGCTGCTGTGCTTGTGTTTAAAAAATTGTGGTTTTGAATCCTGGACACTTTACTCAGTTTTTCATCACTCTAGCGAAATGGGTTCTAGTGGTATTCTGCTGAAAAATTTTGTCTTGTATCCTCACTTAATTTTTGTTTCTCTGTTCTTTTGTTCAGGTGTGCTGGAGCCTACCTCGCTTCAACCATCATCAGCCCCGAAAACCACTTCGGTATGTGGGTTGTAACCACTGGAGGAAATGTGGGCATTAAAAAAAATTATTACAGCTACGGGCCTCATCAACATAGCTGACCTGGATGACTGCTGGTCCTAGGATATAGACTACGGCCTCAGCTTCTTTAGGGCATGCATGACACGTGATCGTTTCATGCTGCTCCTCACATTCCTCCACCTGGTGGACATCGACGCAGCGCTGAGGAGGGACAGCCCCCTCTACAAGATCGCTCCATTCTTGGAGCATCTTCAGAAATCATTCAAGGATAGCTACTATCCCAGTCAGAAAGTGGTCGTCGATGAGGTCCCTCACAGCGCACAGACTGCATGACAAGAGATTGCAGCACTGTAGATAAATTCAAAGATGTCATCGATTACATCATATACATGGGCGCTGTGGACCGGTCAGACTAGACGGTCCAATTCAGCTTATTCAAGCAGTGGACTGTGGAGTGGTCGAAGAAGCTCTCTATCCATATGTTCATGCTGGCAGAGCTAAATGTTTACCTGCTCTACAAGGCCACAGCAGTAAAGAACAGGATGAGAGGGATCAGCCACCGAACCTTCCGCTGCGAGCTGTGCAAGGAGATGGTGTCCTTTGCCCTCAATCGAGATGCCAGAAGGGCGTTTCTAGTCCAGGAGCAGATCCACTGCTTAGGCTGGCTGGTCGACATTTCCCCTCCAAGGTGCCAAACCAGGGATAAAAAAGGAAGCAGTCGTACACAAACCGCTTTGTCGGCTGAGTCTGAGACAAACCAGAAGCGACAAGAGCCTGGAGCTGCACGGAAGAAAGTATCAACGACGGCCGAGTACAGGATTTGTGATGTTGGACTTTGTGTGGCTCCTTGTTTCGAGCTCTTCCACACTTAGAACGACCACCAGCGAGCTTGGAGAAAGCTCTTACAGCAGACAACACACCAGTCAGCCACAGAACCAGCAAACACGTCAGCTGCAGCAGCAGATCTGGCAGCCTAAACTTACACATTATTCAATCGAAATGTCTTTGTAAAGACTTTATTGAGGGCCAGCCCCCCTCTCGTTAGACTTGGCCTCAACGTAGCAGAGGGATGAACAATCACTCTTTTGTTGGCCAACTACAGTACTGTGTACAGACTGATTTTAGCTTTTCCACCCTGACCCTGAAAGTCTCCAAGAATTCTTTTTCAAACATTATATTTAAAAAATCCAATCAAACCACAGGACAACAGGGAACAATGTAGCACAGAAGTATTGACAAATGATACAAGAACGGACTTAAATGTCTTTCTTTACAAATTCGAACAGTGCCTAAAAGTGAGAGACTTGTTTTCATCATTTCATGCTGGATTACTGTGAACATTCTTGTTGGATGACAAAATTGTGAGCACTTGCTTTTCTTTTGGAGTATATGTATCAACTTGCGTGCAGGAATTTTTGCCATTCAAGTGCAGGTAAGTCACATTTGTTGACAATGTTTTCCTTCTCTTACCTGCGTGTGAAAGTTGTGTTGTAAACAGATCCAGTTCTAACAACATTACATACTAGCATTGTTTCATAAACTCTTAACAGCTCTCAGTTTAGGCCTGTTATTTTGAAAACCATACCTCTGGAAGGTGAAGTCCTTTCTGAATTTAGAAATGTGTACTTGTCTAGGGTATTAATGAATGTATGCGCGCATACCGTCGAAATAAAAAATGAAACAATAATGCTCCCTGCATGGGCCTCAAAATTGCCTGACTAGCGCTCCGAGGCAGGTCACGAAAGGTCAAGGTTGGGCGGGCCTGGCATGGAGCACGCTCAGTTAAAATTTAATCAAATTTATCAGAGTTCTTTTTCTTGTATTTTCCATCTCACTTGTACCTTGGAATGCAGGAAGTGGGGTGGTTGAGGAAATGCGGTGATAAATATTCTTTGTTGATTGAAAAAAATTTATTAAAAAAATATTTCCGTTACAGGTTTTGGGACATCGAGATGGACTTCAAAGTGAACGGAGGGAAGAAGTATAAGCAGCAGTGGCAGTGTACTGATGGACTGGTCTCCTAGAGCAGCCAAGTTTGTTGACAACACTCCAACTTCTCTTTGTGATATAATCAAGTGGGCAGCCAAAATTAGTACATTTATTATGCTTTTGTCTCTGAACTTTTAAAGTCTTGAGCAGTTATTCCCCCCAGCCCCCCTCGCCTTCAAATGAACTTTAACCTTTTACCCCTCAAGGTTATGACCCCAAGAAGTAAGTTTTCATCCAAAATCTAATACTAGTTGCCATAATGTAAAAAAATTAATTCACTCATTTGATGTTTTTGTCCATTGATACCATTGGAAGGTTCAGTTCAGTAACAAAATCCACTAACTTCACTTCTGTTCAATTAACATCCATATTTGGCTTTGAATTTGTGGCTGGCACAAAGGAATTCTAGATGTTTGTCGTCTCCTTCCCTCGCTTTATTCTATCGGAATGCTAGATTCCTGCGATGTGACGCATGGTGACATTCTTTCCACCAGATCTGATGCTATGCTCACCGTTGCAAATCTGGCAGAAGGCGTTGCTTTCAGTTTTCTCCATCCATATAAGACAGAAGTACATCGGGTGTACTGCTTGCGAAAACACTGCTGCTGTCTTTTTATGGCTGAAGCTTGCGCCGCCGGACAGGTTTAAAAAAAAAAAACTTTTAGAATTCCAGTAAAATACAACACAATCTTTAAGAGGGACACCTGAACAACGCATTTTTCATTGCTAATGGAGCAATAGTGCTCAAACTAACATGGTATGTTGTATAGAAGATGCAGATTAAAATCAGATGTACAACATAAGTTATTTTTTTACGGTTACCATGGAAATGGCGGCCATATTGGATTTTGTTTACATATTTCAATTCAATATATAACTCCTGAACTACTTGTCCAAATGAGATACCATTTTGTGTGGTTATAAAGAATTGGTATAGAGTGCATCAGGGTGACCTAATTTTTACCAAAATTTACCTAAAATGACTTTCTAAAGGCAATAATTTCAAATGATTTCATTTATCATTAAAAAGTAGGTTGTAATTTTGTGTGGTATACATCTGTGCACACTCATGCCAAACTAGAGAACAATATCTCAAACGGTTTAGGAGTTATGATTTGAATGATGTTAACAATAATGATTTGAATGATGTTAACATTGTTAAAAACAAGAAACGGAGAAAAACAGCTCCAAAAGTGTTGGTTAGTACAAGCAGCTACAACACCTCACCTACCTCTCTAAAACTGCCCTGCACCATACGTTACTCCTTCCTAGGCCAGGGCAAGATCGACGACAAAAAGACTCGAGGCCTCGATCCCAAAACTGAAAAAAGATCGAGGAATCGAGTCCGATTTTCGATTTTGGAAGCTGCTTCAAGTGGGCTGTTTAGAGGCCATGACTTGAACACTGCTAAAAATAGCTCTTAAGATCGAGACCTCGAGTCTTGAACACTGCTAAAAATAGCTCTTAAGATCGAGACCTCGAGTCTTGAACACTGCTAAAAATAGCTCTTAAGATCGAGACCTCGAGTCTCGAGTTTGACAGACGTGGCTGGCTAATATAAGCCTGCGCGCGTTCCAAGGCACGTTGGCTTTCACGCATTTGTGTGTGTGTGTGTATCGTGTGTGTGTGTAAGTGTGTGTGTGTATGTGTGTGCGCGCGTGTGTATGTGTGTGTGTGTGTGTGGAGAGAGATGGGGGAGGGAGAGAAAGAGAAGGAGAGAGAGAGAGAGGGAGGGAGAGAGAGAGATGGGGGGAGGGAGGGAGGGAGAGAAGAGAGAGACAGAGAGAGAGAGGGGGAGGGAGATAGAGAGATTGGGGAGGGAGAGAGAGAAAGAGAGGGAGAGAGAGAGGGAGAGAGAGACGGGGGAGCGAGAGAGTGAGATGGGGAGAGAGAGAGAAAGAGAGATGGGGAGGGAGAGAGAGAGAGCGAGAGAGATGGAGGGAGAGAGATGGAGGGAGGGAGAGAAAGAGAGAGAGATGGGGGAGGGAGGGAGGGAAAGAGAGAGAGAGAGAGAAGGATACAACTCATGGCCAGACTCTGACAGTTCACGATTAGTTCACGATTAGTTCACTCTTGTATATTGTCGCCCTATTCGGGGGTGGGTGGGGGGGGGGGGGGGCTCTCATGCTGCTACAACGTGGGCCAGTGCGTGTGTGTGTGTGTGCGTGCGTGTGTGTGTGTGTGTTGCCTCCCTTCTATCACTCTTGCCAATGCGTGGGGCACAGGCTCCTTCTCTCTTGCACTATCAAGGCCTAGTGCACGCCGAATTCAAATAGTGAAAAAAAAACATAAGTAAACAAAACTCACAAAAATTAATCTAACTTGGTAATCGGGCATTAAAATGGGTTCTCCACGTATTTTTTGCTAATTTTGGGTCGCTGATCACGAAAATCTTATTATTTCTTAAATTTGGCCAATATTTAAGAAATTTTTGGAATGCATTTTTAACTCCGCCTAGGCCAACATCAAAGAAGCCGCCTTATGCGCCGGATCAGTCCCGTCCTGGTGCGGTGTCTGTTTTGAAGCAAAAAACTCGACTGTGGGGTGGGACAGCCCTAGGCCTATCCCACGACAGGACTGTAATAGTGCGGTAGAGATTTAGATTCTTGCCTCGATTCTCGGAGTCTAGGCTAGGAACCAGGCTAAAAAAAAAGGAGACGAGGGGCGTCGACCCTGGGCGGACTCGAAGTTTAGTCTGGGAACAAGATCGATTCTTTGAGTCCTCATTTGGACTCGAAAGAATCGATCCCAGAGTCGATCTTGCCCTGGCCTACTCCTTCCTGCTGTTGTAACTCAAGCTGTCTACGTGCTTTGGCAGCTCGCCTCATTGCCAGTCTGTGTTTTACTGCTTTATCCTGCTTTGACGCTGAATTCTGTAGGCGCTTGATTTGTCGACGCAGCCCGAGACAATTACTGTGGTGACCCTGGCCAACTCCTACACTCCTTCAACCGAACTGAAGCATCATGGCCGAAGTTAAACTCAGCAGTAGATAAAAGAACAGAAAATTGCACCTTTTTCAAAGAGGGGAACGTATGCTTTGGGCAGTTGCCTCAGATTTTAGAGTGGAGTGACTCATTAGCATTCTGAGTGACACCGAGAAGGCAACGCTTAAGTATCTTGGGGTCAGAAAGGCGCTTGTACACTGGCTTTAGGTGTTTGCTGAGGAGATTAGAAATAAGAGGTGTGTGTACAAGTATTCTGTGTGAGCCAGGTTCCTCATTTCGAGCAACAGCAGCATTGTAGAAGCACCAAGGTCCAGTGCCAGCGGGGCAAAGGTGGTGCATTGGGCGGTTGTCTGTGGAAAAGCCGTGATATATCGAAGCAAGAATTCCTTTTCTCATGTCTTCCACATTCTTATTCTTTCGTATAGCTTTTGTGTAGTTGATTGAGAGCCTCCTGATTGTTTCTTGCTTCAAAGTACCATAGCTCCTCCGACCGAGAGTGATCTTACGTTTACTCCAGTCACTTACGAGGTTACGAAGAGCTGTTCCCGTCCTCTTCCCCACATGGTTCCTGCCATAGGGTTCCATCTCCACAATTCTGTTGTAGGCCTTTGATTCTCCGTCAGAAACCATTGTGGTGTAGCGCAGCTTGAACTTCTCAACGGAGCAAGACCAAAGGATGTCCGCAGCACGGGTCTCCATCATCGCAGAGATCCTAGTAAAAAAATTTAAAAACCGAACAGAATTATAAATCATTGTGTCAAAAGGATGCCTATAGTAAGTCATGGTGCATGCATAAATGTGTATAATGTAAATTTTACTTTATTTATCCTAGATCTTGAGAAATTCAGGCCCAATCCTATGCTGTCATAAAAGATTTCTTCATTCCTGATGAAGTTATTTCTAATTTGGTAGTTTTAGTTTGAGCTGCAACAGCATGAACAGATAGATCTAGACTATCTTATAAATATAACATGATGCCATATCCACCTGAAAATAATATTGCCAGATGATAATAGCACAGGAGTATAAAACGTAAAACCTTTATAAAAATTCAAGACCTCGCTCATGAAAGCAGACATATCATAAAGAATAAGAATTTTGAAAGCTAGATTTGCAATAACAATTTTGAAAGCTAGATTTGCAAATTACAGAGTTTCTTACCTTTGAAGTTTATGTGGCAGTTGGGTTTGTGTTTCCGCAGCCATTCGTCGTATACCGCAGCTGACTTTCGGTCCTTAATTTTCGCTCCAGTCTGGGAGCAGGTGTGGCAATACGTAGAGACTACGTGAAATTCAAGGACATATCCTGTTAGCGAATCTATGACGCAGCCTATGCCTATTGTTGAGGTGTGGCCTCTTGTCATCCACATTCCGTCGTAACTGACAGCTATGTCTAAAACGTCATCTTCGTCTGCCACCTCCTGTCCATTCTCTTTCATGCGCTCTGACCTCACAAGTCGCACCGTCTTCTCCTCAGTGAGGCGCCTGAACTCTTCTGCCTTCTTGAAAACTTTGTTCACTTTCACATTAAATGTTTTTTTGTGGATCCCAGGAATATTCAAGTGTTCACACAATTATAAAGAGCACGGTCCCAGTCCACACATTAAGGGGGGAAACTACTTTGAGACCCATTTTAAAGACATGAGCATAAAGGGCTGTTTTAAACATTGCATTGTGACAGAGCAGACACACTTGCCAAACGGGGATCTAGACAGGAACAACCCAACATTCCAACTTCATACAACACTGCAAAACAAATCATCAAAAGCAACAACAAAGATTGGATGAACAGATGGGCCCTGGGAAAGACGGGCAGAGCAGTTTTCAAACATATGACCACAACAAAAAGGAATGACTATATCATCCGCCTTCAGAGAAAGAAACAGACCACGATCTTCCGCCTACGAACAGAACATATACAGCTCAACTTCCACCTGAACAGAATAATCCCAGAACTTCCCCCAATGTGTCCCTTGTGTGACTATGCATATGAGACTGTGGATCATCACCTGTTCCACTGCACAGCCCTAAATGACATCAGAGCTACCCTTCTCCCTCCGAGACCTAACATTGACAACACACTCTATGGAACTTTACAGCAACTGCAGCAAACCTGCACTTATCACTACATGGCATTGGACAGAAGGGCGAGAGCCCAGCTGTTGCTGGATCGATAACAACAACAACAACAAACATTGCATTGAGTTGATTATGAGGATATTGTTGGATTGCAAGTGATTCTAACACAATCTGAGCGAGGAGCGGCATGGACTTAAGGGGTTCGGACCCAAAAACAGTGTATTGTGAGGAACACAATCTTACCACTATCCTCTGTTGTGTCTTAATAAAAATTGGTGTGTGTAAGTACTGCATGTTGTTGAATGTTCCCACAAAAGGATTTTACAATAGATCCAATATTGTGCTGTGCAGGCTTTAGGGAATATGTACACATTTGGACCGGCCGACATAATCTGCAATTTCAAAAAATTTATTTTGATCACTGAGCTATAGCTTAGGGACTAATAGGTTTATTGCAAAATCCTTCTAAGTAAACAGAGTTGAGGTATATGGCAACACTCCCTCCAAGTTTCAAAGAGATCTAACAGACGGTTGTTGAGAAATAGTGTACTTTGGAAACCCACCCCCTTAGAATTTTACATTCTGAGAAAACGAAGAAAATGTAACAAAATTAGTAATCCTGAAAAAAACACATACAGACATTGAAACCAAGCGCAAAAGTCAAGACTACTAGTTTGAGGATTATATTGAGGTAAAATTAGTATAGACAACATCCAATTTCTCCGTAAAACGTCCATTTATGAGAACTCACCGAGTCGAAAAATATAATCCAACAATCCAGCGTCGGAGTTCACAATAATCCTAAGTCAAAACGCACCAGCAACATACTGTTCCCCTCCTTCTGCCCCCCTTGCTCCTCACAGAGTTGGGCTGCCCTCCTCATTTCTCGTCTCCTCTTATTAACATTATCACACGCTTTTTTCGCCATCCTCTTTCAAACACCGTCCCTCTTGTCACAGTACTTCTTGATGTGACAGCTGATGCCGAGTCTCAGGTCCTGGAGTATTCGATGAGTTGCTCTCGCCCCTTGATTGAACTCACCGACGCCGACTGCCACTGCCACCTCCAGTCTCTTTCTACCTACAAACACATGCTTTGGGCAGCGTGCCCATATCACTGAGTGGATACTTTCATTTGCGTTTTGTGTTTTCCCGTCAACGCACTGTGAAAGCAGCTCGTTGTCAGTCAATCGCTGATATACCGGAAGCATGTGCTGTGTCACGAAGTCACTCAGGTACGTTGTCATGTGCTTTTCATGGTCCGGTGCAGGCAAACCTTTCGATATAGCCCTCTTGTAAAAACACCAGGACTCTGCTCCCTCTGGACAGTCTTCATGCTGCGGCTTTTCATTAGTCGACGGGCAGTGCCTGAGCGATGCCCAGATAGCTTTTTTCATTTCAGGAACACTCTGGTGTGCCCTCCTGATAGCTGTAGTATAGTACTTTTGCAATTTTCCAATCTTAACCTGCATAAGTTTCCCCTTCCCATGCCCTCCTAAAGTAACTTTTACCTTTTTTTGTCCTCCACCAACTTTCTCAAACCTGTCCCTAACCTTTTTGCAACGTGATTTACACTCTCCCTCTTCTCTACTATAATCTCATAGGGTTTTGAG